TCTGCAAAACCAGCGTTTCGCATGAGACATCTTTATCACAGTATGTAAAGCAAGCGTGTTCTTCGGACATCCGCAACATGTAGATCCGCCGGCCTACCTCGACCTGTATGTTTCATCGAAGAAACAGATCTCCTGCCCACCCCCAACATGGCATTAGGGGTGAGCGCAACACTACGAGAAGAGAACCTTGTGCCGATGCGCTTTGTCAAACTAATCGTTGACCTCAAAGGTGATTGAAATTGTGACCGAATGCGCCGTACGACCGAGACTGTGACCGAACCGGAATATCGCCTTGGTTTCGAACCAGGCAATTCGGTCCCACCAGGGCGCGGTCTGACAAATTCGGGCGATGGTTTCGGTCACGCGCGGGCAGATCCTCGGGTACAGTTTCGGTCGCGAGGCCACGTGAGGAGTTGCCTCCACACCTCCCGTGGTCCTGTCTGGAGATGGGCGGGATCCCCGGCCCGCTCCGCGAGGGCGCAGGCATGCCGGGGCGCCGCTCGATCACACGCCGCCTCCCTGCAGACCGCCGGCTGACACAGCGTCGCTCGCGGGCCATACGCGCGCGCGGGCGGGCAGGTTGGCGACCGCAAGGGCGCACGGCCACGCCCGAAGCAAAACCAATCATCCAGTTTCGCTGCCGATCGATTCGGCCACCGCGCCCGGGCCAGCAGGGAGGCTGGGGGCGCCTCGGGGAGGGGGGGGATGGTCCATGGAGCCCCCCTTTCCCAATCCTGTATTTGGGAGGATCTTCTGGTTGGGAGACGAAAAACGCAATGGCTTGGCCACAAGCATGAACGCATCTTGGGCTCGATGCGTTCGCGGGCCCTAATCATTGCTTCGCCAAATGCGACAGGGCTCGATGCACACCAACCCAAACAAGCGCGGTGGTGGATCCTGGCGAAAAACCCAACCACATGCAAGCTCGGGTAATGTCTGACATTACTGCAAGGCAGGCGAGACGAAGGAAGGAGAACTCCCTATGCAGCCGCGGAAAATGTCAGAGGTGTGCCGTATACGGGCGTGATTCCCACATGGGGACGGCGTTTTGGGGGTTTTCGGTGGAGTTCTCTAAGAGGCCACGAGTGCGAAGGGTGTGCCGACATGGCCATGCGTAGAGGGCAGAGGCAAGGATCGGAGGAGGGGGAGGAAGGAGGAGTGACGCTGGGCGCCGTTTCTTCGAAACGTGGACCCAACACCACAGGATGGTTGGGAAAAGCGTTCCATCTTTCCCTCCTCCGTTCTTCACGGGCAATGTCGGGGGGCGATCGGCTCAGGGGTGCGGATTGACTATCGGGGGCCTATCGCCGATCTATCGGCGATGTATCGCCGATTCCAGGTCGATGTTTCCCCCCCTGTGCGAGTCCCCCCCCTATCGTTGCCCCTCATTCCCGTGCCCACCCCCCGCCCCCTCCCCCACCTCATAGGACTTCTCCCTGGGACTCCCCAACCGTATCTCCCGCTTCCTCCTCCTCCTCCTCCTCTTCCTGTGCCCCCCTTCTGCCCCCGCGTTTCCTCCCAATCCAGGGATGGCTCTCTAGCGCGGCTGCTTAGCGCTCGGGCGTGTCTGCCCGCACTGCGTCGGAGGGCACTTGTCGACAGTCCAGCTGCGCCTTTGGGGCTATTTCCGGCCAGAGCCGAGAGCCTCTTGGCCCCACGGGGGAAACACGCATTCTCTCTCTCTCTCTCTCTCTCTATTTGGCGTCCCTGAGGCCGAGGCGGAGTCCGCCCTCGCAAAAGAAACAACTCGGCCCCTGTCCCCGGGCTGACGCTCCTCCTCTTGCAAACCGCCTCCGATCTCCCGAGCAGGAGAATGACTCCATGGTCCATGCTCGTGGCGTGCCCGCGCACCGCCGACCCTCGGCGCGGACGGTCAAGGAATTGGGCACCGCCCGTGGCCCTTGCGTCGGCCGACGTCGAACAATTGGCGCTGTCGGGAATCGGTCGCCGCCGCCCCTTGCCTCCAGGCCTCCCGAACGGGGTCCGAGCAGGTGGGGTCGGAGGATCGCGCCGCACCGCCGATGCATTGCCGATGCGGCTCGATGTGGAGCCAGATTTCCACTTCACGCCGACGGCGCCGGTGCATCGCGGGCGTCGCCGACGCATCGCCGGTGCATCGCCGATGCACCAGCGATGCACCGGGGACGCCGGCGCGCCCCTCCGACCCCGTCTACGTGTTCCTCGCCTGGGAGGCCTCCAGTGTCTTCCGCCCCTCCCCGGATTCCACGCCGAACGCTTGGTCCTCCTCGCGAGACCCCCCCTCCCTGGCGGGAGGAGGAGGAGGAGGAGGAGGAGGAGGAGGAGGAGAAGGAGGGAGGGAGGAGGAGGAGGAGGGGGGAGGGAGGAGGAGGAGGAGGAGGAGGAGGAGGACAGTGTAAACCCAAGAGTCGTCAACGACGTTGGAGTCAACCCTCTCTCAAAGCTTCCTCTTCATAGGCCCCTACAACGGTTCATTACCCTTGAGGTAACTGCCTCGTTGGGAGACAACCGTTTGAATACCCTGAAGCATGCCGAAACATGGTTCTCGGGATTCCAACGCCACAGATCAACCTGACTGTTGCGTCTTGACGACCCTGAGTCGTGCCATAACGCCATCCTTGGGCTTTCAACACCGCAAATCAACGTAACTGTTGCACTTTCATAATCCTGAATCCTTCTAAAAACGCAATGTCTAGTACGGAAAACGCAATGTCTAGTACGGTAGCGTCGTGCGGCGTTGGCGCGCTAGCGACGCAGGCGAATGCGTTCAAGGTTGAATTCTGCGACGCGGAAGCACCGATGGACACGGTAATGCCATTGTGCCCGATTGAATTCAACCTTGAACGATCAGGCCGCGATCGATTCAAGGTTGAGCGATCGGCGCGGTGTCAAAAAATGTTGCGAGCCTTGACGCCGCGCGAACCTACCGTCCGCTGATCATGGGAGCCCGTGAAAATCTTGCAAATGTTACAAACGAATGTGCGCGGCGCTAAGGCGAGAGCCACATTTTGGAACGGAACCGCTTTCAATCCGTGAAGCTCGTGCACTTTTTATTAGAAGTGAATGCGCGGCGCTAAAGCGAGAGCCATATTTTGAAAAGGAACCGCCTTCAATCCGTGAAGCTCTTGTCAATTTTCGAAACGACTGTTCGCCGCGCGAAGGCGAGAGCCACATGTTGATAAGCAACCGATTTCAATATGCAAAGCTCTTGTAAATTTCTCAAACGAATGTGCGCGGCGTTAAGGCGGGAGCCACACTTTGCAAACCATCGCCCTTCATCCGTGAAGATCTGGCACATGTTTAACACTCATGTGCGCGGCACTAAGGCGAAAGCCACATTTGGGAAGCCGCCCGCCCTCCATGTGTGAAACTGTTGTCATTGTTTAAGCTTCAGGGCCATGAGTGGTGAGGAAGTCTCAGGCGAAACGCCTGGCCCGCCATTAAAATTGGCCTCGTGGTGCGACAGGGAGAAGTTACTTCTAAGGAAAAGGACTGGAGGAGGAGGAGGAGGGGGAGGAGGAGGAGGAGGAGGAGGAGAGGGAGGGAGGAGGAGAGGGAGGAGGAGTAGGAGCAGGAGGAGGGGGAGGAGGAGGAGGAGGTGGAGGAGGAGGAGGAGGAGGAGGAGGAGGAGAGGGAGGCGGAATATCGCATTGGCTTGGGGCATTTCGTTTCTTGAGCCATAGGTGGGAGAGGGAGGAGGAGAAGGAGGAGAACGAGGAGAAGGAGGAGGACGAGGAGAAGAGGGACGAGGAGGAGCAGGGCTGGTAGTTCGGTCCACTTTGGCATCCCGATCATGGGGTCACCGTTGGTTCCGACAGCGGTTTGGGATCTAGAGGGGGCCTTGTGATATCCAATATTTGCGTTTTGCTTCTGGAGGGGGGGGGACTCTGATTAGTTCCATCGGCCTCTGGGGCCCGTCCTCTTCTCCCATTGTTTCTCTCAGCGCGTCCATCTCCTCTCAGCGTTTCCTTCTCGACTCTTCCTCAGCGCTTCTTTCTCTGCTCACCTCCTCTCTCCAAGTTCTTCACTGTCATATCTGCCTCTCTTTCCCCAGGCCCCCAAACCCTCTCTGTCTCTCTCTCTCTCTATCTCTCGCTCTCTCGTTCGGTTAGTATTGTTTTTGTGTTTCTCTCTCTCTCTCTCTCTCTCTCTGTTATCTCTCTTTATATATACACATACACTATGTAGGTATGTATTTACCTTTATCGGCTGGGTTGGGTTCTGATTTCCGCATTAGGTTTCTAGAGGTGGGGCTGGCGAATTCTGATTGTTTTGAATTGGCCTCCGAGACTCCTCGCTTTCCCCAATCTTCTCTCTCGACTCTTCCTCTTTCGCTGATGCACAAGCCTCTTCTCTCAGCGCTTCCTCCTCAGCTCTTCCTCTCTCTCCCAGCTCTTCTTCGCTTTTCCCAGACCTCTCTCTTTCTCTTTCTCTTTCTCGGCTCAGGCAGCCGCGGCCTCCCTTACTCTCTCCAGTTCCCTCTCTTCCATTATCCTCCTCCCCTCTCCCTCCCTCGTCTCCCTCCCTTCCCTCATGTCTTCCCTCTCCCCCTTCCCTTTCTCCCTCCGGCCCTCCTCCCCCTTCTCTGATGTTGATGATGATTTTGATGATGCGGATAATGATGATAATGATGACGATGTTGATGATGGTGATGTTGATGCTGATGCTGATGATGATGATGATGATGATGATGATGATGATGATGATGATGACGATGCTGATGCTGATGCTGATGAAGATTTTGATGAGGTTGATGATGATGATGATGATGATGATGATGATGATGATGATGATGATGATGATGATGATCATAATCGTGGTGGTGGTGGTGATTGTGGCGGTGGTAATGAGGAGGAGGTGGAGGAGGAGGAGGTCGAGGACGAGGAGGGATGAGATGGAGGAGGAGGAGGAGGAGGAGGAGGAGTGGAAGGGGAGGAGGAGGAGGAGGGGGGAGCTGGAGGAGGAAGGAGGAGGAGAGCCCCCCCCCCCCCATCCATTCCCCGCGCGGCACCGCCCGCCAGGCCCCGCGGGCCCCCGCCCTCGGGCTCGTGGCCCGCGCGCCGCAGCCGGCCTTCAGGCTGGGCGGCCTGGCGCCGCGGTCGTACGTGACGGTGGCCAAGTACACCAGGCGCCCGATCTACACCCTAGGCGATGCTTAAGAAAACCCCCGTTTTCGTCCAGAGTCTCGATTATTCTTAACTTTTCAATGTAATCCTTAAGATTTTCATAGAAATTCTGGGCTGTTATTCAATTCCTGAGGCTGTGAATTTCTTAACCCATGATTTCTTAAGCATTTCGCAGGGTGTACCTGGCTGCGGCTCCTCCTCCACGGAACGCATGCAGTGGCGATGTGTCCTGGCGTGGCTACAGGCCGACCAGAGCATGTTTTCGGAACCGTTTGGGGTCGGCGGGGCAGGTTCTCATAACATGTGTGGCTGAGACAGTCTGACTTCCATTAATCGGTGCTATGTTGTAGGAGTATTGTTTATGCTGTTGGAACATTGCTTCGTCTCTAAGAACGTGCTAGCTGGCGTGGACCCCAAACAGTGCGTGTCTAGCAATATTTGTGGTGCAGTCTATGTGGCGCAAATATGTGTAGTGCGTTCGATGTGGCCCAACACATGTTGTGCAACCTATGTGGTGCCATCTGTGGTGTGCAACTTACGTGATGCACCCTATGCGGCTTAGAAGATGTCATGCAAACTATATGGAGCAACCCACGTGATGCACTCTAGATGGTGCCATCTACGCGGTGCAATCTGCGAGGCGCACTCAATGTATGTCGTGCTCTCTGTTGAGAGCAGCCTATGCGGTGCAAGCCACGTGATGCTATCTGTGTGGTCCACAACGTGGCCGCCAGACCGACACACAGGCCCAGACGACGGGCGGCGACGGGACGGCGACGGCGGCGGCATGACCGCCAGACCGACCCGCAGGCCCAGGCGACGGGCGGCGACGGGGCGCCGACGGCAACCGGACAGCCGCCAGACCGACCCCTGCGCTCAAGTCGGGCCTGTCCTTCTACAGGAGGAACTTCGATAATGTTTGAGTCTGTTTTTGTGATTCTTGTGTATTTTTTTTATTTTTCGTCCAGAAGCCCCCATGCAGGGGGACACGCCCGACTTGACCCTACGCCCAGTCGCCTTTTCCAAAAGTGAGCACCCCTAAGTGCGAACGCTGTTTGGGGAGCTTCGCGGCAGGCCTGCAGGAATGCCGGGACCGTCGGTCCCCACTCGACGCCAGTGTCTGCCCCTCTTCCCCTGACATTCTACATCTTCCCCTGACATTCTACATCTTCCCCTGCTGGTGTTTGCCCCTCTTCCCCTGGCATGCTACGTCTTCGCGCCGCGAAGCAAAACTCACGGCGGACGGTCTGTGCGCGTGTTCGGCCCACGGAGGCCCTCGCCGGACCCCGGGGTCCGGCAGACCACGGTGCAGGACGAGAAGCCGGGGTCCTGTGGGAGGGATCCAGACCCCCGGGGAGCCGAAGGATGGCGATCGAGGTATGAGGAGAGCCCTAGCAGGGCTCGTTTCGATTCCTCCGATTCGATTCGATTCGATTTCGATGGCTTCCGATTCCGATTCGATTCGACTTGAGATTCCGACTTGGGCTCCGATTTCTTATTGGAGGCCTGCTAGCCTGCCGATGTCTGCCGATTCGACTTTTCCCGACTCGGCCTCCGATTTCCGCCGACCCGACTCCTTTCGATCGCCGATCCGACTTGTCGATTCGATTCTGGGCTCTCCTGCCCTAGGGAGGCCGAGCGCACGAGTCCCCTTCCCTCTCCCCTCCCCCTTTTCCTCCGTCAGCACGTGCAGTCACGTACTGGAACGTTCGGAACGTGCTCGTGACATCTCTGGAGTCCGAGTGTGCTGGCCTCCTGGGGCCTCCTGAGGGCCTCTTGGGGCTGAAGGCTGGAGTTTTCGGTTCCTGATCCCCTTCTTGGGCCCTCTTGGGGCCGCTTTGGGGCCCTCTTGGGCCGTCTTCGGGCCCTCTTGGGCTCTCTTGGGCCCATCTTTGGGGCGTGTTGGGCCGACTGGGGACGATGTTGGAGGCCTCTGGGGTAGCTCTGGACGCTATGAACCCCCAAACGTCGCACAAGCGGAACAGTGTACGTTTCCCGAAGGAACTGGGACGATTTTTACTTGTTGGGGTCTTCTTGGAGAGCCTCTTGAGGTTCTCTTGGGGCTTTTTCGCGGCCTCTGGTGCCATCTGTAGACCATCTTGAGCGTCTTGGAACGATCTTTCGGCGACTCGGGGCCTCTTGGGCCGTGTAGGGGGCATCCGGGCGCCCTCTTGGCGCGTTTGTTCATGCCCTAGGAGACCAGGACACAGACAAAGCAGGACAGGGAAAACCAAGGAGCCGGCACCTTTTCCTGCAAAGATGCATTTTTCAGCACCCGTTTGTGCTTGGATTCGAGTTTGTGTCTGGATTTGGGGGTATGTTTCTGGATTTGGATGTTTTTCAGTTTTGCTGCACTGCAGGGCTCGGGTTCGTGTCTGGATTTGGGGGTGTCTTGCAGCCTTTTAGGGCCTATGTCCGGGTTTATTATGGAAATGCTGCAGTGCAGCATTTACCTAACAGCGAAGACTGATAGGTTTCTAGTAGGGTCAAAAGAAAGCATCATGACACCCCAGGGGGCCCAGGGTGGTCTGGGCGGCATCCGGACAGGGATCCGCGGAAGTTGTTCTAAGCAAACAGTTACACACTTCGTGGTCTTCGAGGTCCCAGAACTCCATTCCCGGGCCACATTCTGAATGCCCGGAGCCAACTGTAGGCCACTTCGTGTTCTTCGAGTTCCCAGAACTCCATTCCCGGGCCACATTCTGAATGCCCGGAGCCAACTGTAGGCCACTTCGTGCTCTTCGAGTTCCCAGAACTCCATTCCCGGGCCACATTTTGAATGCCCGGAGCCAACTGTAGGCCACTTCGTGTCTTCGAGTTCCCAGAACTCCATTCCTGGGCATGATTTTGAATGCCCGGAGCCAACTGTAGGCCACTTCGTGTTCTTCGAGTTCCCAGAACTCCATTCCCGGGCACATTTGAATGCTGAGGCAGGCTGATGCTGCTGAGGCAGGCTGAGGCTGAGGCAGGCTGAGGCTGAGGCCGAGGCTGAAGGCAGACTGAGGCTGAGGCTGAAGCAGGCTGAGGCTGAGGCTGAGGCAGGCTGAGGCTGAGGCTGAGGCAGGCTGATGCTGAGGCAGGCTGAGGCTGAGGCTGAGGCTGATGCAGGCTGAGGCTGAGGCAGGCTGAGGCTGAGGCCGAGGCTGAAGGCAGACTGAGGCTGAGGCTGAAGCAGGCTGAGGCTGAGGCTGAGGCAGGCTGAGGCTGAGGCTGAGGCAGGCTGAGGCTGAGGCAGGCTGAGGCTGAGGCTGATGCAGGCTGAGGCTGAGGCAGGCTGAGGCTGAGGCCGAGGCTGAAGGCAGACTGAGGCTGAGGCTGAAGCAGGCTGAGGCTGAGGCTGAGGCAGGCTGAGGCTGAGGCTGAGGCAGGCTGATGCTGAGGCAGGCTGAGGCTGAGGCTGAGCTGCTGAGGCTGAAGGCTGAGGCTGAGGCTGAGGCAGGCTGAGGCTGAGGCTGAGGCAGGCTGGCTGAGGCAGGCTGAGGCTGAGGCTGAGGCTGAGGCAGGCTGAGGCTGAGGCCGAGGCTGAAGGCAGACTGAGGCTGAGGCTGAAGCAGGCTGAGGCTGAGGCTGAGGCAGGCTGAGGCTGAGGCTGAGGCTGAGGCCGAGGCTGAAGGCTGAGAGGCTGAGGCTGAGGCTGAAGCAGGCTGAGGCTGAGGCTGAGGCTGAGGCTGAGGCTGAGGCAGAGGCTGAGGCTGAGGCTGAGGCTGAGGCTGAGGCTGAGGCTGAGGCTGAGGCTGAGGCTGAGGCTTGAGGCCTGACTGATGCTGAGGCTGAGGCGAGGCTGAGGCTGAGGCTGAGGCTGAGGCTGGCTGAGGCTGAGGCTGAGGCTGAGGCTGAGGCTGAGGCTGAGGCTGAGGCTGAGGCTGAGGCTGAGGCTGAGGCAGGCTGAGGCAGGCTGAGGCTGAGGCAGGCTGAGGCTGAGGCTGAGGCTGATGCAGGCTGAGGCTGAGGCAGGCTGAGGCTGAGGCCGAGGCTGAAGGCAGACTGAGGCTGAGGCTGAAGCAGGCTGAGGCTGAGGCTGAGGCAGGCTGAGGCTGAGGCTGAGGCAGGCTGAGGCTGAGGCAGGCTGAGGCTGAGGCTGAGGCTGATGCAGGCTGAGGCTGAGGCAGGCTGAGGCTGAGGCCGAGGCTGGCAGACTGAGGCTGAGGCTGAAGCAGGCTGAGGCTGAGGCTGAGGCAGGCTGAGGCTGAGGCTGAGGCAGGCTGATGCTGAGGCAGGCTGAGGCTGAGGCTGAGGCTGATGCAGGCTGCAGGCTGAGGCTGAGGCCGAGGCTGAAGGCAGACTGATGCTGAGGCTGAAGCAGGCTGAGGCTGAGGCTGAGGCAGGCTGAGGCTGAGGCAGGCTGAGGCTGAGGCTGAGGCTGAGGCTGTGACTGCGACTGCCGTTGCCACTGCGACTGTCATTGCGAACGCCGCTAATTTCGACTGCGAGAACAGCAGAATTCTACAACTGGATTCTCATCTGAATCTTAAGGGGAATGCTTCCAGATATGCTCCTACACATCGCTGTCAGGTTGCTTTGCCGAGATAATTTGTTCATGCCGCCGTCTGGAAAAATTGGTTTCGAGGGATGTTGGGTGTCCGGGTCTAGCGTGTCTTGGTCTACGGAGCCCCGACTCTTGGAGCGCCCTGGGGGAGTCAGCCGGGCATCGCCCACACATCGGCCAGGGTATTTTGCGTCCAGGGGTCCCCAGGGGCCGCCACGCGCGCACGAACTAAAAATATTGTTAACCTGTTACAGAAGGTCTTAGCACGCCTTTTGGCCGTTGGGCCAGCGAATTCTTCTCTGTATTTTCCCCCCTCCTCCTCGTCCTCCTCTTTCCCTCGTCACCCCAACCTCTTTCCTCCTCCTCCTCCTCCCCCTCCTCATACATCCCTACCTCTTCCTTCTCATCCTTCCCCTCTCTCATCCTTCTCTCCCTCTCCTCCCCGCCCGTCCTGCCCCTCCCGCCCGCCTCCCTCGCCTTCGCACACCACCCTTTCCCATTTCAGGGTCGCTCCAGCACCCCCATTCGAGGCATCATCGACACGGTGCCCTGCCCCCCCCCCCTCCCCGCACAACAGCTGTGGTTGGTCATTCCTCCTGCTCCCCTTCCCGGCGGGGGACACCGACTCTCGACAAACACCGATCCAGGGCTGGGCCAGCTCTTGGCCCGAACGCAGTGCCCCCTGGTCTTCCGTACACATGAGGTACATTTTTTGAGAGGTGAATTTCAGCATCGGCGTTGGTGCATGTTTGGTCGAACGCAGTTTTTATTATGTTTGCTTGATCTGGCCTAATCCTGCTTAGTCTTGCTATACTTCGGGCCTAAACCGGTCTAGTCCGGCTCGCCTGTTTCCAAGAAGCCTTCCCACCTCCCCTTGCCCCCCCTCTACCTCCCTCTGCGCGCGCCGCCAAAATCCTACGACAACCACCCAGGAGTTGCATCCTCCTCCCCCTCCTCCCCCTCCTCCCCCTCCTCCTGCTCCCTTCCTCCCCCTTCTCCTCCTCCTCCTCCTTTTCCTCCTCCTCCTCCTCGTCCTCCTCCCCCTCCTCCTGCTCTAGATTCCCCCCCCATCCAGGGACGACGTCTTGGCGAAGCTGGACGGCTTCCACTCCGAGGCGCGCGCTCTCGGGGCGCCCTCTCGGGCGGCGCAGCCCCTGCTCGGCGCGGGCACGCGCGCGGGGGGCCCGAGCGCCCGTCGACGGCGGCGGCGGCGAGGGAGGGGGGGGCGAGGGGGGGGGGGGACTTGGCATCGCTCGGACGTGTGCTTCGTTTTTGTCGGCGAGGGCAATCGAGGAGCATCCTGGACCATCGAGCAAACAATCACGCACAAAGCCGACAACATGCACGGGGAGTGGACGTCCAAGCGACGGCAAGGGGGGGGGGGGTGGGAGTGTCGAGCTTCGAGGTGCGCATCCAAACAGGGCGTTGTGGGGGTTCATGCCTCTTGGATAGGGTCCGAGCAGATGGGCTCGGAGGATCGCGCCGCATCGGCGATGCATCGGCGGTGCGGCTCGATGTTGAGACCCGATGCTCGCCACGCCGAAGTCGCCGATTCATCCTCAACGTCGCCGATGCATCTGTGATGCATCGGCGATGTGGCGCGATCCTCCGACCCCACTTTGCTCCGACCCCATCTGGGAGGCCTCTAGTGGGGGGTGGAAGGAGGAGGAGGAGGAGGCGGAGGAGGCGGCGGCGGCGGAAGAGGGGGAGGAGGATTGCAGTGGCTTGGGACATCGACAGGGAGCAGGAGTAAACCCCCTCCCTGCACGTCCTGTCGACCGCGGGGCCAGCCAGCGCGCGGCAGGCCGAGGCGGGGACAGACTCGCTCCTCGCGCCATCCTGCCGGGGGTGGAGGATCGGGCCGGACGCCGATGGCTCCGATGCATCACCGACGTCGCCGATGCATCGCGGATGCATCGTCGATGCATTGGCGATACTGTTGATTCTCCGACCCCATCTACAAGGACCCCATCTAGAATCGGGCCGAACGAAGGGTGGGTAGGGAAAGAGGGGGTTACGAAATCTGCTGCAAGCAGCTGGTTTCGGCCCCGCCGTCGGGCCCATTCCTCGATACATAGGCGCCTCCCGGCGCCAGGAGAAGCCAGAAAAACAAGCTACGTGAGCTGATTTTCTACCCTACCCTTTGCTATCCTACCCTTTCGTCCCCCCGAGAGTAGGAGGATGAGGAGGAGGAGGAGGAGGAGGTAAGATTCAATTTCCGGGAGGGTAAATATCCAGCGTCGGCGCACGTAGACTTGTGGTCGAAAGCCGGCCTTATTTGGCACAATCCCGCTCATTCCAGCCCTTATCCCGCTCAATTTTGCTTACGCAATGCGGCTCAATCCGGCTCGATCGCAGGCCGACTTCGGCGTATTTCGGCTTAATGGTTTTTTAGATCCGGCTTGTTCACCCTTAATCGTTCTCACGAAGACCTCCTAGGAGTTGCTTCCTAGGGGAGAGGTCGTTGGGGACGGCCCGAAGGCCATGCCACTCGCGATCAGGCGAAGTCGGGCGCGTCCGAATCTGGCTCCCTCGCCGAAGAGGAAACCGCATGGCTTGCCTCGGGCCTGTACCCGAGGGGCGTCTGTCGCTCCAGTGCAGTCAGGAGGGGTCATACGGGGATCCTTCCTCCTCCCCCCCTGCCTACTCATTCCCTCTCCTCCCCCTCCCTTGTCTTTCCTCATGTTCCTCCTCTCTCCTTCAGTCCTCCTCCTTCCTCCTGTCGCTGTCGGTGTCGGCCTCGGGCGTCAATTCGAACGCGGCCATCCCCCCAGGGGCGGTCGCCGCTAGAGGGGGGTGATTCAACTAGAGGCGATGCTGACAAGAGTAGAGCCAAGACGGGAAGAGAATGCAGGGCGGAGGGGCAGGGGGAGGCACGCGTAAAAGTTGTCCCATGTTCGCTCGGACCTCCCTGGGTTGGAGACCCCTGGTGGGTAGAGCAATGCACTAGTAGAAGCTTTCGGAGGTCCGCTCGGCTTCTCTGGGGTGAACAGGCTGCCGGTCGGAGGGGCAGAGAGGAAGGCAGAAGAGGTGGTTTTGGGAGGTCCGTTCATCCTCGGCGACGCCTCTCCAGCGCCGCTACTGGCTCGCTAATCGCGCCAGGGGAGGAGAGAACCGCGAATCGCGGTGCGCGGTGCACACAGGTAGGTGACCCAGTGAACACCCCGCGTTGCAAAGTCCTTGCGAACGATGGGTTCGTCACGGCAGGAGCTTGCTGTATTAATTGCGTTGCCCAGTCGAGGAGCAGAGATCCTTTTGGTGCGTGTGCTGGCGCACGCGAGCCGGGTCCCCGAGCCACCGAAGTTGGAAACAGCGTATATTTCACACCATCTACCATCCATCACGCTGTCGCAAGTGACGAATGGTAGGAGCGATACGCACTCCTTTCCCCCCATCTCATCGATGCAAAAGGCGGTCCGAGTCGGTCCGCCTGCCTACTTAGCCGCAAAGAGGTAGTCGCGACCTTGGCCTCTTCATTGGGGGCCCCTCCCCTTTAAAGCCCTGATGGTGCGGTGACCATGGGCCCCTTTTCTGGACGTCTGCATGGCTGAAGGAGGCTCTTGAGCTGGCAGGCGCTTGCAGCTCCACGAGACAGGCGACCACCGCAAAATGGGGGCGATCGCTCTCCACGGTGGTCATTCCTCCCTCCCCACCTTCCCCCGTCATGCTCCCACTTCCCCCGTCATGCCTGTGCAGCCTTAGGCTGCACCGGCACGCGCGAGGCAAGTTTGCAGCGAGCCAGCCCTGGCACACACACACACACACACACACATCACGCAGAAATTGGCTTTGAAAGAATACTATGTGGTGCAGGCTATGTGGTGCACGCTATGCGGTGCAATGTACATGGTGCACTCTGCGTGGTGCAAGCTCTGTCGGCCAAGCTGTGTGGAGCAAGTCATATAGTGCAATGTGCGTGGTTCAAGCTATGTGGTGCAAGGGCGTTCGAATGATTTCGACGTGCGGCGCGAGGGGCCCGTTTGGCAGAATTGAACGCACATGTTGAAAGCCTATATGGTTCTCTCAAGAATTCGCAGGAGCGCGAACGCAGGCATTTGTTGAAAACTGGTGCTGCAAAACCATGTCGTGGATGCTTTCGGGGCACTCCGTTTTAATCATCCTACGAGACCAAAGGTTTCTGGATGATTCTCGCATGCGCTCGCGACGACGCGCGCGAGGGCACTTCGTTCCGTCTGTTGCAAGGGATTCTTGCGACAGCACGCGCGCAAGGGCGTTCTGGCGATTCCGGCACGCGCGCCAGAAGCCCACGTGGTAGCATGTGATGGACATGTCGAGAACATGTGTTTTTTATGTTGTTGTTTAGAAAGAGCCCGAGCGCAAGTTTGAGTTTGGTTGTTTTTGTTGCGAGGCCACGTGTTGTCTTGTTTAATATGTTTCCAGGACTCTCGATCTTGAAATCGTGTTGTCGAGAGATTGTGGCATGCGCGCGCAGCGACGCGCGCGTGTGCACCTCGTGCTGTTCGTTGCAAGGTATTTTGGGAAACGGATATCATTTTGATAAACGAGTGCGCGCGTAGCACTTTATGCAAAGGGCCGAGTGGGGGACCGATACTGGCCTGTCTGGGATGGTATGAATTCGAATGTAGGATGGACGATTGGGCATAATCATACTTACATTGCACCACGGAAAGGTGTACCTTTAATTCCATGGATGGGGGTAGATCCTAATATTAATTCAGAAAAGGAAGTACAATTACGTGGTGCAAGTTATGTGGTGCAGGCTATGTGGTGCAGTCTGTGTGGTGTGAGCGATGTGGACTCTGGTGCGGCCACGGACGGGAAGGGGACCGCCAGGTTTGGGTGGGGCGGCAACGGACGGGAATGGGGCCGCCCGGACCACGGATGGGCCAGTTTCTTCAAAAGGGCAATAAGAACCCCTGAGTGCAGGCATTGTTTGGGGAACAGGGCTCAGTGTCAGTGCCACTGCGGGCATTGCCCATCCGATACAGAAGGCCGCCTGTCCAACAGCGGCCGCCATTGGTTTCGAACCACATTCGCTGTTCTTCACCTCGAGGAACAACAGATGAGCGACGAAGGTAAACGCGTTCGTCTTCACCGACATTGGCTTTTACGCTGCCCGCGTAAGTAAGCGCCCGCGCTTCCAATGAACCGTGTCGCGCTTCCAATGAACCGTGTCGCGCTTCCAATCGATCGATCTGTCGCGCCGTTCCTGCGCCGCCTGAACGCGCGCGGTGCTCACCTCCCCGGCAGTTGCTTGCGCGGCAGCGGCGCCCCAGCTGCTGGTAGCTTGGTACGCCCCCTCCTGGCCCCCAAACCCCGGCTCGGGCTTGGGCTCGGGCTCGGGCTTGGGCTCGTGTTCACGCGGCTCGGGCACCAAACAACCACAACCACAACTAATTGGATCGTCCAGGAGGGCCCCTCACCTCAGAGAAGAGCCCACCGATCTCGACATGAGCACTTTGGTTGTGGTCGATCTAGCCGTCCTGGGTCGCCACATCGACCACAATCAGTACGAAGCTGGTTCCGGTGTTCCGACCTTTGTGGCATGCGCAGGACATCCCCCAGGTTGTATCCTCGCTGTGGTTCCGGTCGCTTGCTGTCCCCGCAGTCGTGGGCTCGGGCTCAGGCTCGGGCAGGGGCTCGTGCTTAGGCTCGGGCTCGGGCTCGGGCAGGGGCTCGGGCTTTGGCTCGGGCTCGGGCTCGGGCTTGGGCTCGGGCTCGGGCTCGTGCGTTGGCTCGGGCTCGGGCTCGGGGCAGCAGGGGAGGGCCTCCGCCGCAGCGCCCTGCCGTGGGGCTGCGCGGGCCCTCAGGGGCAGCGTTAGGGGGGGATGAGCTCGAGGTGGTGCAGCGTTTGGAGGGGGACACGTGTCGGGTTCGAGGCTCGAAGTTCTCGGGCGTTTTCGTCGGCTCACTGCGGTCTTCCGGTCTCGGGGTACCTTCCAGCGACTGCGCTTCCCCCAGGGCGCTCTTTTGGGAGGGGTGGCCGGATCGTCCCGAGCACCGAGCTATGATCCGAAAACCAGGGGGCAACGTCAGGGATGGGGTCAGGGGGGGATGCATCGACCCCCAATCGCGCGCATCGATCGCCGAGAGGGGCCCGATAGCCCATTCCGCCTAAGACCGGGCGGCTTCTCTATCGGGGGCTTAGAGCCAATCTATCGGCGATGTATCGGCGATTCTAGGTCGATGTTTCACCCCCTGAGCCGGTCCCCCCCCCCAACGTTCCCCCTCAGCCTTGGGGACCGCTGGGCGCCGTCAGGTCCTCGCACATTGATCATGTTTTCATGGGCCCAGCTCCAGCTCCGGCTCGACCGCCCCCTCCGAACCCTTCTGCTCATCCTCCCCCCACTCCCCCCTCTCTCTGTCCCGCAAGTTCTTAATAGCAGGAGCGAAAAAGGCTTCGAAAGTACGCATTGCGCGAACGTTCTCAACACGAGGTTGGCCTCACGGACTGGGGGGTCGTATCCATGTATGTGGCTGGGCGCGTGCGTCCATTGGGGCTTCCCTTCAGAAGGAAAACTATTACCTCTCTCTCTCTCTCGCCAGATCTAGCCCGAGAGGACGCCAGCTGTTCTCGCGAATATTGTTGATTTGACGCATCAATTTCAACATCAAAGTGTTGTTGTAATTGGCGTTCCCACTGCAGCGTTGGACTCATTTTCGGATCGACGCCTGAGTCCCGTCATTTAGAATGGCGCTCTCATCCCAGCGCGGCCCACACTTCTTGCGGCGAGTCCTTCCCTCGTCATTGTCGCCCCTCTCGATTCCCTTCCATCCTCCCCTGGTCCTCCTGCTCCTCCCGCTCCTCGTCCTTCTGCTCATGCTGCTGATGTTCCTTCTCGTCCCCCTCCATCCTCATCCTCTCCCTCTCGATCATCCTCTTGCTTATCCGCCACCCCCTCCTCCAATGTACACAGCTCCCTTTGTTCTGATTGTCCATAACACGAGAAAGGGTCCTTTCGGGTGGTCTACGTCCGCCATGACGCCCGTCGGCGGATCGAGAAACACTCAGCGCACTGGAAAGGGATGGGTGGGAGAGGTAGGACGTCAGAAGTGGCGCGAGCGCGCCTTGCTTGCCCTCGCCCTGTCTCCCTTGCCCTTTGTCTTCCTGCCCCTCTCTCCTTCTCCCCCTCCCCTCGCCCTTCTCTCCCCAGGAAGTGCTGTTTCCAGTCGTCGCGACCATGCACGTGCTCGGTCCTACCTGGCCCGCAGTTCTTGCCTCCCCCCAGCTTCCCCTCTGCAGGTCTTCAGCGCGAACTGGGCGGACTACCTCTACTTGGTCTACAACGTGCCGTTCTGGGAGGCCCAGCGCACCAGGGAGGAAGGTCCAGAGAGGGCGGCTGCACACCATCACCGTGCCTGGTCGGCCATCCTTGTGCCAGGGCTGGTGTAATGTTCGCCCCTCCTCCTCCTTATCATCATATTTCCTCTTCTCCTCCTCCAGCCTCCTCCTCCTCCTCCTCCTCCTCCTCCTCCTCCTCCTCCTCCTCCTCACCTCCCTACGTCCTCAATCCCCTTCCTTATGAACGACTCCTCCCTGTCGCACCCCGCGACGTGTCGGTACAACATAAGGGGCCGAGCGTTTCGCCTGAGACTTCCTCGCCCTTGAGCGTAACAAGTTGCAACAGTTTTACACATGGATGGCGGGTCGTTTTTATAATTTGGCTATCGCTTTTCACGGATGGAGGGCGGTACCTTATCAAAATGTGGTTCTCGCCCCAGCCCCGCGCACATTCGTCTCATCATGTTACAGCAGTTTCAAGGATTCCCAGAAATTGTGCAGGGCGCAACAGTCATTTTGATTCGTTGCGGTGAAGTTCCAGGAACGGTGTTCTGGCACGACTCAGGATCGTCAAGACGCAACCGTAACGTTGATTCGCGGCGTTGAAGTCCCAGGAATGGGGTTCTGGCACAGGATGTTCATACGGTTGTTCTCCAACGTGGCACAACCCTCAGTGAAAAGAAACACTGATAGGGACCTATGAAGAGGAAACTTTCTAAAGAGTGTTCACTACATCGTTGGTGAATCTTGGATTTGCACTGGTCCTTTTTCTCCTCATCATCGAGGCTTGGGTTCAGGGCGCCTGTCAACAAAAAAACTCCTCTTCCTCATGCCTCCTCCTGGGATCTCCTGCCTCCTCCCAGGGCCTTCCTGTTGCCTCGTGGAGCCTCCGTGGGCCTCCTGGAGCCTCCTGGTGCATCCTGGGCCTCATGGTGCCTCCTGGTGTTTCCTGGGGCCTCCATGGGACCTCCTGGGGCTCCTGTGGCCTCCTGGGGAACTCCTGGGGAACTGCTGGGGGCCTCCCAGGACCATGACCCAGAATTATAAATGAATGCCCCCACCGTCCTCCTCTCAGAGGGGGGAAGCAGCGTTCCAGGCGGCGAAAGATGTGCTTGCTGACCGCTGTGGCTCGCGTGGCGTCGGGAGACGCGGCTCCGACGACCCTGGGCCGCTCAAGCAGGTATTTGATTCACCTTTTTGCGCATGCACTGTTTCGGGAACAACCGCTCCTCTGAGCCATCTGCGACGTCATTGCCGAAGGCGATACTCTGACGGCCGACGCCACGCTCCGAGCTGCGCCGAGCGAGTACTTGCGTTTGAGGTGGTTTCGGTCAGGAGTGCGATTGGGGAAGCTTTGCAAAACGGCCTTATCAAGTGCATGTTCTGCAGAGCATGGTTTTCATGGTGTGGAAGTGCCGTTTCACATTGGACCTTCAGTTCTGCTCGTTATGTGGAGCCCGCGACGTGAGCACATATTATGTCACATCGGTCACTTTCGGATGTTTAAAGGGTCGTTCTGTGTGAGCTGCCCAACTTAGTTATATATGTATATATATATAGGGCCTACACCTTGTATTATTCCTTTTATTCTCTTGCACAGCTGTGCTCTAGAGCTCGGACATCTTTATTCTCGTCGTTCGTCGTGTCGTTCGTCCCCCTCGCCCCCCCCTGTCCACGCTTCCCAGGGTAGCCCCCCTGGGCCACAGAACCCTTTATTTTCGTCGTTCGTCGTGTCGTTCGTCCCCCTCGCCCCCCCCCCCACGCTTCCCAGGGTAGCCCCCCTGGGCCACGGAACCCTTTATTTTCGTCGTTCGTCGTGTCGTTCGTCCCCCTCGCCCCCCTCCCGCCCCCTCGCCCCCCCCCTGTCCACGCTTCCCAGGGTACCCCTCGCCCCCCCCCCTGTCCACGCTTCCCAGGGAAGCCCGCCTGGGCCACGGAACCCTTTATTTTCGTCGTTCGTCGTGTCGTTCGTCCCCCTCGCCCCCCCCCCTGTCCACGCTTCCCAGGGTAGCCCCCCTGGGCCACGGAACCCTTTATTTTCGTCGTTCGTCGTGTCGTTCGTCCCCCTCGCCCCCCCCCGTCCCCCTCGCCCCCCCCCTGTCCACGCTTCCCAGGGTACCCCTCGCCCCCCCCCCCTGTCCACGCTTCCCAGGGTAGCCCCCCTGGGCCACGGAACCCTTTATTTTCGTCGTTCGTCGTGTCGTTCGTCCCCTCGCCCCCCCCCCCTGTCCACGCTTCCCAGGGTAGCCCCCCTGGGCCACGGAACCCTTTATTTTCGTCGTTCGTCGTGTCGTTCGTCCCCCTCGCCCCCCCCCCCCCTGTCCACGCTTCCCAGGGTAGCCCCCCTGGGCCACGGAACCCTTTATTTTCGTCGTTCGTCGTGTCGTTCGTCCCCCCACCCCCCCCTGTCCACGCTTCCCAGGGTAGCCCCCCTGGGCCACTTTTATTTTCGTGTCGTGTCGTGTCGTGTCGTTCGTCCCCCTGCCCCCCCCCCTCTGCCCCCCCCCGCCCAGGCTTCCCAGGGCAGCCCCCCTGAGCCTCGGACACCTTTGTGCAAGAGCCAGGGGGCACGCGTGCCACTTGTTTCGTGCTAGACGCGGTTTGAAGATGTGAGAGCAAACGCGTTCCTCTTGAGATGAATTGGTATTTCCTTTTTGGGTGACGTATTCCTGGTGAGTCTGGCACTTCCCCGCACTGTGTCGTCATAGCCAATGCTTGCGAACATAATGCAGTTTGTGAGTTCAGAAAGGTTCTGCCAGTGGGCATAGCGATTGGCCAGCGTTGTTCTGGTTTGAGTGAGCCCGTTCACACGTGGTGCCTTGACTTCTCTGATTTCTGATTTTGTCATTGGACCGCAAGTTTGGAAGCAACGTGCGGGCGTGCATTATATTCTGTGTACAACCTGCCTTGTTGATCTTGTACATTCGGGGCGCGGCGGGCAAGATCCACAATTGCTTGTTTACATGCCCCAGCCTTCCCTGGTCAGGCTGAGATGGAGAAGCTGACGAGCTGCGTGCAGCCCTACCTCCACGAGGCAAAGTGGCGAGTAGCAAGGGGCATGCAAGAGATGACCATGGGAGCGGACATATGCGAAGTTGAACAGAGGGAGCGGGAAGAAATTGATCAGGGAGGAAGCAGGTTGGAGGGATGATAGAGGGTTGGCGACGAGGGAGGATCATGCAGAAGTGTGGGTCGGGCGAGGCTGTTCTACAGACGGCTATTGTACAGTCGGGGGCGAGCATGAATCCAGACCGATCTGGGGCTATCTGGCATGTTGCCCCCAGGTAAGTGAGAGTGGGTTGATGACAATACGAGACAAGGAAGCGTAAAAGGCAAGCTTGATCAACATAACAGGCAAGCACCCGGTATCCCAAGGCGTGCTACACAAAGCTAAAGGCAATACTCAGCACTGCCACGCTAAAGCTGCACTGCAGATCAGAGTGACCAGCTCACCAAGTACAGTCTAAAGGGGGACGTAGCATGCATGTGGCAACTGAAAGGAAACCACAATGCATGATTTGGCTGACCTGAGTGCAAGACCTACACGGGTGCAACGGGATGAGGTCTGAGGAGGACGCGGACGGCGAACACCGCAACGAAAGCAGCGTCAGCATAATCATCATCAATAGCAGCGCGAATGCGAGGGTCAATTGGAGGGGGGCAACGTGAAACATGCCAAGAGGGCTCTTCATCAACATCCACAGCATATGTTCTGCCCCAGAACACTGTGATGCGTTGGGCAGTCCAGATTTCCGTGTCAAGCGTATCATGTCTCTGTTTCTCTCGTTGTGTTGTTTTTTATGGTTTATTTGTTCCTTTCTTCCCCTTTCCTCTTCCCTTCCCGTTCCGACACCCTTTGTCACCTTTCTACCCGCGTCATCCTTTTGAGCCCGTTTCTTCACTGCTTGGGGCATGGCGGGCGTCATGGCCCCCGGCCCCCTCCGCCCCCCCCGTATGACGTAACGCTCCCCCCCCAGAGCGTTCCAGGCACTGCCGCCGTGCGCATCGTGATCCGCATCGGTGTCCGCAAAGGAATCCGCATAGGAGTTTGGTCCGCACTCGTCGTCGTCGTCGTCGTTGTCGTCGTTGCTCGTCGCTCGTCGCTCGTCGCTCATCGTCGTCGTGCGCGCGGACGCAGCTGGAGCCTGTTTCTTAATTCCGGGCCGATGACGGCAATCATTTGGGGGGGGTGGAGGGGGCCGATGACGTCACGTTTCGCGCCGGCGGCGTCTGGGAATGCTTAAGAATCACCGAGGACGGGTAGCAGCAGCATGTCGGTGGCGATCTGCACCACCACGCCTGTGTACACCATAGTGCCTGCGTGCACCACAGCGCCTGTGTGCACCGCACCGCCTATGTACACCACAGCAGCTGCGTGCATCACAGCGCCAGTGTGTGCCACAGTGCCTGCTGGCACCACAGCGCTTATGTACACCACAGCGCCTGCGTAATCCACATCAGCCGTGCGGAACACAACACCAGTGTACACCACGAGGCTTGCGTGCTTTCAGCACGGCACCAATGAATAGATCATTTTGCGGTGCACGCTCACACGCGCATGTGCGCCGTAATGTCGATCCGCACGACAGGGGGGAAGGGTGAGGGAGGAGGAAGAAAAAGACGAGGAGGAGGAGGACGAGGAGGAGGAGGAGGCGGAGGTGGAGGAGGGAGGAGGGACAAACGTCGCATTTTAGTATCAGCACTTCCTGGAGTAACGTTTAGCTGTCCGCAGCAGATCCTCACCGACATGCTCCTTCTACTTGTCCTGTGCGCGCAGGCACTCTGGTTTACACCAGCGCTGCCTTGCACGCGGATGCTGTGGTGTAGACAGGCGCTGTGGTGTGCACAGGCGCTGTGGTGCACGTAATCATTGTGGTGTAGACAGGTGCTGAGTTGCACATGGCTGCTGCGTTGTACACATTCGCTGTGGTGTACACCGGCACTGTGGTGCACGCAAGTACTGTTGTGTACACAGTCGCTGCGTTGCACACGGCTGTTGCGGTGTACGCAGGCGCTGTGGTGTACACAAGTGTTGTGGTGCACGCGAGCACTGTGGTGTACACAGGCGCTGTGGGACAGATCGCCACCTACATGCTGCTCGCGTCGTCGTCGTTGTCGTCGTCGTTGCTCGTCGCTCGTTGCTCGTTGCTCGTCGCTCATCGTCGTCGTGCGCGCAGGCGCGGCTGTGGTGCCGGAGCCGCACGGCGGGGGGGGGGGTCGTTACGTCATACCCCCCCCATGACGCCCGCAATCGCCGATGATGAAGGAACGTGCGCTCATCCCCTCTACCACTTCTCCGTCCGTCTGTCTCCGTCCTTTTCCCTCCTTGCGATCCTCCCTCCCATGTGCACATCCTCACACTTCCTCGTCCGTTTCTCCCCCCCCGTCCCTCTGGCACTCCTCCTTCCTCCACCTCCCCATCTCTGCGACCTCCGCCATCCTACCTCCTCCTCCCCCATCCCCCCTCCCCCCCATCTCTCTTCCCCCCTGTCCGCCCCTCCTCCCGCCACCAACGCCAGGCGACAGTCGGGGAGAAGTTCAAGGAGGTCCAGGAGCTGCGGGCAAAGCCGCCGGGCGCCGAATCCGGGGCGGGATGGAGGGGGGGCGCGTCCAGGATGTGTCGACGGATGGGGAAGGGCAGCCAGGGGAGAAGGGGAGGACGCGACCGACAGGAGAAGCACGCGGGGGACAAGAGAGTGATGAGGGCACCGGGAGCGCACGGCTTGTGCGGCCTGACTGCGTCGTGCCTGCTGGCACTCGCCTGGTGCACGTCTTGAAGCTGCCAGGTCAGCCAGGTTGCACCCGGTGCCCAGACCCCCTCAGGTCATGGCAAACACGACCACCAGTTGTTCGTTGCTTTCGGCCTTTGGGGGCCCTCGCCAGACCGCGGGGCCGTCAACTGACAATCCTCAGGATGAAAAACTTGTCCCGGGGAATGACTCGAGACCTCTGGGGGTCGGCGCCATGAACAAAAAGATTTCGTCGGGGGTTGGTGTACGTCATTCCTGGGCATTGCCGTTGTCTTCTGTGATGTATGTCTTCCAGGCCATGCCGCGCTGCCGACTTCCACAGACGGGGGGGAGCATACCGTTCGAGCATCAGACCTTTGACTGCTATACTTAGTTTCTTCATGCATGGCCACTTTTGGCTTCTGAGAAATGGAAAGCGTCACTGCCACCAGGGGTGCCATCTCCAGCGCGGAGGTTCACGATGCCTCCCCGAGCTGGGGATAGGGGATGTCTCGAGCGGAGAGGGGCGATCACACCACCAAAAGGACACTCTGTCTCATCGGTGTCTATTTTTCTTTGGTCTTGATTCTTTTTGATCAGGCAATTTCGCCATAGATGGGAGGACTTGTCAACCGCTTTACAAGCAGACCTCCCTCCTCAGGAGATGATGGACGTCCTGTACGCCTGCGAGGCAGCCAGTGTGCTGAGCGCCCTCTTTGGTTGTCTGGCAGGGCAGATGTCAGTTGTAAGCCACGGTTGCCGGATGCCAACGTCCGACATACGGTGGCCGACCAGGCAGTTCGTTTGGATGGGATGTGATTCTGCAGTTTTGCGACCTCGTTCCCACCTCCCCATCTGGGTTGCAAGCATGGTGTTCCGCGGGGTGATAAGACCGTGCATTCGTGCTGGTATCATGCGAAATACTCACATGTTGGGCAGGTTCTGGCCACCATCTTGCGTTTCGCTCGCCCAGGGTTCCTGAGTTGTCTGCCCATTCGCAGCTTCACGTGCGCGACTCGCGCAATCTTTTCGGCCGGTCTTTAGACCGCTCGTCTGATCCAGGTCGGGGAAGCATGTTTGGGGCGGCGCCCACAATGGGGTGGCGCGAAGGGGGCAGCGATTCCCGAGTTATCCTCACTCGAATGGATCCTCGCCCTGGCGTCGTCTTGGGGCCTCTTAGGAGGTATGGGGCCTTCTTAGGAGGGGCCTGGCGGCTTCTAAGCCTGCTTCCCAAAAGCCATGGGGGCTTCGAAGGAGGCGTTGCCCTTCTTGGAAGCCCCCCTCCGCCACGCCGTTCTGCGAGGGTGGCCTCCCTCGCCCCCCCCCCCCCCCCCCCCAGCGGGCGCCGCCAGTGTTCGTGGCCGAGGCTCGCCGTGGCCAGAAGAGGCAAATGCTTTCACCGTGTAGCGTTCCTCGTGGCAGCACGATGGCTGCATCCGGCGGCGAGCGAGGAAGACAGCTATGGTAGTGGGCACTTGTACCTTGAGGTGGTGGCACATGCACCTTGAGGTGCTGGTACGGGTCACCCCGCCCTACGGCCGTCTTTGGCCGAGGGACCGTAGGGGGTTCCTCGGCCCCCTCCAGTGCCAATTGACGGCGCGGTGTACTTGTGAACTGCGAAGGAGCAGGCGGTCTGAGAAGGCGGCGGGGCTTCTCAGACGCCCTCGCGCCTTGTGGGAAGTTTTCTGCATCTTCCAGGAAGGCTTAGAAAACTTCTCACGAGGGCGGAGGACGCCCGAGCCTTCTGAAAAGGCCCGCCCCTTCTCACTCCCCCCCCCCCCGGGTTCGCCGCCGATGTGTGCATGGTTTCTCTGCCATGTTTTCACCACCACAGCGCCACCTTCGCAGCGCCCACGGCGCCTAGCCGGCCAGCGGGCGGGGGCGAGGGCCCGGAGACGATGATGTTGTCTGGCTGAGCTCAAGCAAAGAGTCGAGATTTACATGATGATCTGGCTGGCTTGTCTGTCTGGATGATGCTTTCTGGCCGTGGAGTCGAGAGTTCCAATCCGTGGGCGGCAGACATCTCCATATTCACGGCCTCGCTGGCCGGACCCCTGGGCCGCCACCCCATGGATACAGCCCGGTCTTTCGCTGATGCCCCGCGCTGAACGTATCTTTCCGACAGCGGGTCCACGGGATCGCGTCCCGGAATCCAGACCCCGAGAGCGTGGATATGGAGATGTTCGCCGCTCGTGAAGTATCCAGAAAACGTTCAAGACCATCTCTTGCAGTCCCACGCCTCACAACATCAAACGACATCGAGAAAGGGTCTCAGGGTGGCTCGAAGACGGCCAGGGCCGTCCTTCAGGCACATCGTTTTTGGTAGTCAGCACACTCAACCAGACAGCCTGGGCCAGCTGCACCATTAAGATGTCGATTGGCGCTTTAGTACGCGTAGTCGCATTGCTCAGGTGCTCAGTGTTTCGTCTCTTCCCCGCCCGCCTCGACCCTTCGCAGCCAGGATGTGCGCGACCACATCAACGAGCTGTGTGAGATGGGCACCCGGGCTTCTGGCTTCATGGGCACAGGCTGGCAGGCCGAGGAGAAGGCGCGCGGAAGGGAGACCTCTTGTCGTGGGCCCGTTGCCCGGGCAGGGAAGTCAGCAACCACGAGGATCGAGTTGTGCGTTTGCGACAGGGGAACGACGAGTTTCGTTCAGAGTTCGATTCGGTCGATCACAATGCACGTATTTCACGCTCGCTGTCAAATGTGGTGTTGAGACACTTCACCGCCACCTCCAGAGATGGGTGGGGAACAGGATGAATAATTATGGAAGAGGAGGGATGCTCGAGGAGAAAGCAAGTGTTGTGGAGATGCTCAGCTAATGTAACTTGCTGGCTCACAGCAATCCGAGAAGGGGCGCTTGGTTTGAAAAGGGAGGCATGGGACCCCCGTGGGCCACTCTCTTGGCTCATTTTGATGGCATCTACTTCGCGTTCATCCTCCTCCTCCTTCTTTCTTCGTTCTTCTGTAAAGGATTGCGAATTGATTTCCTTTTGTGGCGGACTCCAAATTGATTCCTTTTGTGGCGGATTACAAATGGATTCCTTTGTGCCAGATTACAGCTTGATTCCTTTTGTGGCGGACTACAAACTGATTCCTTTTGTGAAGGATTACAGCTTGATTCCCTTTTGTGGCGGATTACACATTGATTCCTTTTGTAGCGGATTACACATTGATTCCTGTTGTGGCGGATTACAAAAGGAATCCTTCCGTGGCGAATTACAATGGGAACCCTTTTGTGGCGGATTACACATTGATTCATTTTGTGGCGGATTACAAAAGGAATCTCTTTGTGGCGGATGACACATTGATTCTTTTTGTGGCGGGTTACAAAGGAAATCCTTTTGTTGCGAATTGCAAAGGGAATCCTTGCGTTGGGATCTTTAGCGGCCTGGACGTGCGAGAGTTTCCCAGGGAAATAAATAATGTTTCAATCGGAAAACCAGGTTTCGCCTGAGACTGTATCATTTTTTATAAATCCATGAAGCTTCGCTGATGTAAAAGTCAAAGGGAACCTCAAGGGAAACCTGTTTTTTTTCATTGTCTTTTACATTGGTTTAACACAGGAAACACAGTTTCGCTTGCGACCCCCTTTGAATTTTACATCAGCCAAACCCGATGGATTTATAAATGTTGAGGCAGTCTCAAGCGAAACCTGGTTTTCCGATTTAAAACAATTGAAAATTCCAGCAAAATTAGATAATTAAAAACCTTGGGAACCTCTCGCACGTCCAGGCCGCTAAAGATCCCAACGCAAGGATTCCCTTTGTAATTCGCCACAAAAGGATTTCCGTTGTAACCCGCCACAAGCGGAATCAATGTGTCATCCGCCACAAAGAGATTCCTTTTGTCATTCGCCGCAAAAGGATTCTTTTGTAACCCGCCACAAGAGGAATCAAATTGTAATCCGCCATAAAAGGATCTCCTTTGTAATTCGCCACAGGAAGAAATCAGTTTGTGATCCCCCACAAAAGGATTCCTTTTGTAATCCGCCACAAAAGGGGTCAATTTGTAACCCGCCATAAAAAGGAATCAATTCGCACTCGCCACACAATGAATCACTATGTAACCCGCCACAAAAGGAATCAAGTTGTAATCCGTCGCCCAAGGAATAAACATGTAATCCGCCACAAAGGCTCCACGTTGGAATCCGCCACACAAGGAAACATGTTGGCATCCGTCACAAGAGAGGGATCGAGAGAACCAGAGAGAAGCATTAAGGAGAGGGAGAGGGAGACGGAGGGGGAAGCATGAAACCTTCAAAGTGCAGACAGCCCGCCATACCCAGCCGGTATGGAGCCCCCCAGGCGCCAGGCTGGATGGGCATGGCTGGCTTTCGGCCTTCAAAGGGTGTAAGGGCAGTTCTTTGTCCAACTCCGTTTCGCTCTTCCGTTCTCTCCCAATCCTGCATTCCTTCCTCCTCCTCCTCCTCCTCCTCCTCCTCCCGTGGACTCATTTGACGGAGATGCTTTCTGACGTTTCTACTGCAATCAAATGGGCATGCGGACAGGTTAAATGCGTGAGTTATTTTCAGGTGCGACGGCTATTAAGAACACGCGCGTGCAAGTTGTGAACGAGCAGCGGTGCCTACTTCGCAGATTCCCCCGTCTCCTCCCCCTCATCATCATCATCCCCTCATCTTCCTCCTCCCCCCCCATCCATCCTCCTGCTCCTCCTCATCCTCGTTGCCGTCGCCGTCGTCGTCCTCCTCCTCGCCCACCCCCCCTTCCCCAACTCCTCGTCGTTCGTCTCTTGTTCCGCGGTCCCACTTTCGCATTTTACCCCGCCCTCGCCTCCTCCTTCCTCTTTCCTCCTTCACCCCACTGTCCCCCTTCCCCGCCTCCACCCCAGCTCCCTCCTCCCCCTGTCCTCTTCTGGCATCGCGGATCCCTCCTCGCTTCCTCCCTTCTCCCCCATCCCCGATCCACATAGCCCTCCCCCATAAGCATGGTTCCCCTCCTCCCTCCGCTTGCATCCTGTCACCTCCCTCCTGCACCCTGCATCCCCCGCCTCCCCCACCCGATCCCTTCGCGTTGGTTTTACCATTCACTGTTTATAGATATATATATATATATATATATATATATATATATATAGCATGCGCGCGGAATTGCACGCATGCGCACACTTCTCGCAAGTTCAGGCATCCGTGGGCACGCACATACACACATACGCATGTGCACTCAAGGGAGGAAAGAGGGTGAGAGGGAGGGAAGGGGGGAGGGATGGGAGATGAAAACGAATGCGTGTGGAGGGCGCTTGTGAGGGAAAAGTGGGCGGGCGGCGGGAGGGGTGTGATGCCTTCCCACCACCACGCTTCTGATTCTCTACATTGACCTCCCGCCCCCCCTCAACTTCCCCCCGTTCTCCCGCGCCCTCGCCCTCCGTGCCGCCACCGCCCTCAAACGGTGAAAGGGAGGAGACAGAGAGAATTGGTAGTGGCTGCGTTGCAGAGGGGGGGAGGTGGGGACTGGAGGATGACAGCCGCTCACACCATCCTCGCCTCCTGCCCCCTTCCCTCTCCCCACCGCCACCCTCGATGTATGGAGTCATGAACAGTTAGTGGAAGGATGCGAGGCACGTGGGGGAAATCGCGGTGGTGATGCAGGGAACCAATGAGGGTGGTATGGAAGGGCGAAGGAGAGAAAGCGAGACAGAGAGAGAGAGGGGAGAGAGAGAGAGAGAGAGAGAGAAAGAGAGAGAGAGAGAGAGATAGGGAGAGAGAGAGAGAGAGAGATAACGAGAGAGCTTCAGGTAGTCGTGTTAATGGGGGGCATGGTCCTCTCATGTCCCCCCTCCCCCTCCCTCGCGGATGCCATCCCAAGTCCCTCCATCCGCCTTTTCTCCTTCCCCCCTTCGCACCGCGGCCCTTCCCCCATTCCTCTTTCCCTCCTAGTCGCTATCCCTCCCTTTTTTTTGAGGCGTGCGAGAGCGCGAGAGACGGCGAGAGGGATGGGGCAGGGGACAGGGAACGATGGGGGGAGCGGATGGGGACATTGAGATGTGGTCGCGGTGGGGGGCGGCCGATCTGGACGAATGGAGGTGAGGGGGAATTGGGATGGGGGAGGAAAGGGCGAGGTGTTGGTGGCGGGAGAACAGCAATTCCTTGCCTCCTTGCTCACGCCACCACCGGCCCTTCCCTCATGGCCGTTAGTGGTGGAGGGATGTCGGGATGGAGGGGGGGAAGGGAACGCCGAAATATTGGACATGGAAATAGGAGAGGAGGTGGCGGCGGTGGTGGTGGCGGATCCGCCACACAAGGAATCAATGTGTAAATCCGCCACGAAAAGAATCAATGTGTAAATCCGTCACAGAAGGAATCAGTTTGTAAATCCGCAACACAGAGAGAGAGAGAGAGAGAGACATAGAGAACGAGAGAGGGGGGAGAGAGACCGAGAGAGAGAGAGAGAGAGATAGAGAGAGAGAGGGAGAGAGAAGTGGAAAAAAGAGAGAGAGAGAGAGAGATAGTCATTATAAATGAGCCAAGAGAGTGGCCCACGGGAGTCCAGGCAGAAGGAGGGTGGAAGTGGAAGTGGAGTAGAGGGGTTGGACGTGGATGAGGCTGGAAGGGGCGGGGTGAAGGGAGGATGGTGGGGGCGGAGTGAGGATGGAGGGTGGAGGGTGGAGGGTGGGTCACGAGCGACGCACATATCCGTATCCGCGCCCTCGCGGTCTGCATTCCGGGGCGCGGCCTTGCTGATATTCGGCCGTTCGGATACGTTGCGCGCGGAACATCCACTACAAACGCCCCGTATCCGCGGGGCTGCGGCCCAGGGGCCCAGCCCTCGAGGCCGCAGATACGGACATGTGTATCGCCCACGAGTGGATGGAGGTGTCAGGATGAGACGAAGGTGGCGGAAGATCAGGGAGAAGAGGAGAACGATTGGAATGAATGGGGTGTCGGAGGAATGGGAATGATGAGGAGGAGGAGGAGGGACGGCAAAGGTTTTGAGGAAGAGTTATGTGGAGCAGAGGAGGGGAGGAGTGGCGAGGGGGATGAGGATGAGGAACACTGTCAGAGGATGATGAGGAGGACAGGGAGTATGATCAGAAGGAGGAGGAGGAGGAGGAGGAGGAGGGTTGGGAAGGGAGGAGGGGGAATGATGGATCATGGATGAGAAGGAGGAGGGAGGCCGGATGAGGGAGAATGATCTGGAGGAGAGGAGGGGGCCGAGCCCTTGGGCCCTGTGCCAGGTCGAGAACTTGGACGAGAACGCAAAGAAGTGCGCGGAGGCGTACGAGAAGATGCTGGAGAAGCACCCCACCTTCAAGCCGAAGATTGAGCAGGAGCCCGCTGTCGGCCGCCTCCCCCTTCCCCCCGTCCCTCGTCATTCTCTTTCCTCTTTCCCTCGTCAATCTCCGCCTCGCTCTCCTCCTCCTCCCCCTCCTCCTCCTCCTCCTCCTCCTCCTCCTCCTCCCCCTCCTCCTTCACCCTCGTACCCTTCTCCTTCCGACCCTTTGCCAGGCAATCTCGTTTGACGTTTGGGAGAACGTGCATTCCATCGATATCTGAGCGGCCACGCCCCCCCACCCCCACCCCCCGCTGGGCTCTATGGAAATAGGGCCGCGCCCGGGCGCGCTATGCAGAGTCTCGTCGTCCTCCTTGACCCTCACGTGCGCACGCTTCAGCTGGGGAGGAGCAGCTCGAGCTTCGCTCGTACTCTTGTTCCCGCATCCTGGAGCGCCGATCGCTAGGTTTGAAAGTTCTTCACATTCACCATCGTCCGCCTTCTCCCCTTAACGTCTGCCTCCTCCACAGGAGGGGGGGAGAGTTGAGGGAGCTGAAGGATGGCGAAGAGGAGCAGCAGAAGAGAACAGGAGGGACACTGAGGAGGCAATGAGGAGAAGGAGGAGGATGAGGAGGAGGAGAGCCCTCCCAGACCATCGGCCACGGCCTCGCAATCCTCCGCTCCAAGCACAAGTTCAAGTGGGGCAGCCCAGCGCCGCCGCCGCAGCCTCTCTCCTGCGGGCAGATAAGAAGAAGGGCGGTGGAAGAAGGATGATAATGAGAAGCAGGATCGATGAGACGAGCACGTGGTTCAGGGCAGATGAATAAGCGACGGGCCCCGTTCCCATACGACGACATCGGCGCGCTTCGTCGCTAAATCTTGCAGCATTGGCCTCATGCTTGGGGTCACCCTCCCGATCCGTTGGTCTGGCGCCCACACGTCAAATCCGCTGATCCCCAATGCATCTTCGAGTGTGCCCGCGAGGAGGGAGGTGGACGAACCCGACCCATGCTTCCCATCGATTTAGGTGGGGGTACAGTCGGGCGACCCTGGCAAATCAATGGTACCTTTGTGTCCCGTGTCTCGCGACCTGTATTTCCTACCTCCCTGTGGCAATGTGGCCCTCGGAAGGGTCTTGTGTCCTCTCGCGTGTCCTGTCCAATCGAGTCCGACTGTAGGAGGGAGGTGGACGAAGCCTGCCCCTGCTTCCCATGGATTCGGGTGAGGGTAGGGTTCAGATGTCGCCACCTGAGGGGGGGGGGAGACGGGAGTTTGCGGAGGAGGAGTCGGGCGGGTCCCGACGGCCCGGTCTGGCGGGCGGGTCGCCGAGGCGTCGAGTGACAGCGCGATTCCCAGGCAAATCGAGATGGAATCTGAAGCGAGAGTGTGGTTCCCGAGTCTAGGGGGGGGCACGGCGCCGCAATCCGCGATACATCGCACTAGAGTGATCTGGAAGCCCTCGCAGCTCTTCCGGAGCGCGTTTTAGAAGGGCCGCGGCGCCCGACGCATCCGCCAGAACCGACCGATCTCAGAGGTCCCCGATGTGTCCCGGTCTTGGCTCAGTCTTGCGGAGGTGGAGGGGGATGGTGCGCGGGGAGTGTCTTTCATTTCTCTCCTGTGCGGTAGACTTCTAGAGGCGACGAGTGGGACGAGGAGGAGGTGTTCGGGGAAGACGAGGCGGAGCGGGGGTGTTTTCTTTTGAGGTGAAGGGACGGAGGAGGAGGAGCTGGGAGAGGAGGAGGAGGAGCAGGAGGAGGAGGAGGACGAGGAGGAGATGGAGGAGTAAGTGGGGGAGGAAGAGGATGAGGAAGGGGAGGAGGAGGCGGAGAAGGAGGAGGATGCCCAGCAGGAGGAGGGGGCTGCCGCGCTGGGTGTCGCCTCCCGCGTCCGTGCACTGTCTTGGCGGACCCCTGTCCTTCCCCGGGCGTCGGGGGCGGTGGAGGGAGGGCAGGAGGAGGATGAGGATGATCCCAGGAGGAAAGGTACCGATACCGCTATACTCGCCTCGTTTCTCTTGGGAGGCTCGCGTTACCACTGCTGGATTCGCTTCGATTTTCTGGCCTGAATGCCGCACAGGAGAGGCTCTGGGAGCAGCGTTCTGTTCCACATATGAAGAGGATAATGATGAGGAGTCTGGAGGAGGAGGACGACCACCTCGACGACAAAGGGGAGGAGGATGAGGAGGAGGACGTGGAGGAGGACGCGGACGATGAGGAGGAGCAGGAGGAGGAGGAGGACGCGGAGAAGGACGCGGAGTAGGCGGGGGAGGAGGCGGAGGAGGCGGAGGTGGGCGAGGAGGATATGGCGAGTGGATCGCGGAGGAGGAGGAAGAGGAAGTTGGACGTGGAGGAGGCGCAGAAGGGCGAGGAGCGATGAGGTGAGGAGGTGTAGTACGTGATGCGAAAAACTTGTGCTAGCTTCTGCGTGGATGCCACAGGCAGTGACTCGAGCCACACGGTCGATCAGTGCAGCACATACGAGCTATGTAGGTGTCTGCCAGAGGAGAACGAGGCACTGATACCGCTTCCACTCCCTGGTTTTCGCCCTGTTGGGCCTCCTGGGAGGCCCTCGTCGCCACGGCCGGAGTCGTCTCGGAATTCCAGACGCTTCACGCAGCCCCACTAGCCCGTCCACAAACGACGCCCAGACGAGTTGCCCTGATCAGGGATACGGAGGAGCATGCAGTGCAAGAAAGGGCCGGGAAGCCGTCATACCCCAAGAGGGGGAGGATGGAGGAGGAATCGGAGGACGGGGAGAGCGAGAGAGAGAGAGAGAGAGAGCGCGCTGTCATCGGATCCAGGGATCCGGCCCTGAGGGCAGCGTGGCGGAGCCTCGGCCCTCAGATCAAACAGTAGTTTGCCACGGCCTCTGACCATAGTTTCCGCTGTCCTCCGTGACGGCGCCCGTGATGTGGTTGAGAAGGTGCCCACTGCAAAACCCACCTTGCCCACGAGTGTTTCGAGCCCTGTGAACGATACCGCCACTTGTGATCCGAAGGTCGGTGTGCAGAAGTCCAATCGGAAATTTGAAGACGCTGCAGGCGCTGCTCTACGTTGCGGGTCGCCCGTCTCGCCCAATCGATCCAAGACTCCAAGTCAGTTTGGGTACTGCAACTGCTCCGACTGCTCGAGGAACTGTTGGTTGCGGCGGTCTCGCTGGATGAGTTCTGCTCTCGGCTGCATTCAGCCTCCTCCGGGGTGTGCGGACGATCATTCGGAGCATCCGTCGCTGGGTTCGCCGCACCTTGTCCTCCAGGGGCGTGGTCAGGACCCATGCTTCACAGCCGTAAACATGGTCGAAGATATTGTCCTTTCAAGAAACGGAAGAAGACGAGAATTGATGGAGTATTGATTGCTTGTAAGTTCAGCCTGGTGAATGTTGTGCTTCTTCCACGCCATGGATTTTCTGTGGTCGATCTCCGTCTCGTGCGTATTGCTGAACGAAATCTGTCGTCCCAGATATTTCCACGCACCCGAAAATATCAGGATCTCGATGTTCATGTCGTCGACCTTCGCTGCAGCTGCTTTGGGTCGCCCCGTGCACATCTTGGCGTTGCTCAAGCGCTTCGTCTTGTCTTGGTGGAGCTCCAGACCTTTCTCGATCTGCGTCGCGAATGTCTTTGAGAATGTTCCAGACCTGGTGCAATGATGCGCCAATCAACAAGACATCGTCGGCAAATCGTAAAATAGTGATCCAACGAGCTTGACCAATATTGAGCCCCCATTCCTTGCGCTTCTACTTAGCTTTAACAGCGCGCATGGCATCATCCAAGAGAGCGTTGAACAGCAGCGAGCTGAGAGGGTCGCCTTGTTTAGTGCCGCGCTGAATCGGGAATTCCTTGCTCATTCTGTCGGTGCATATAATTGCAGGCTGTCCAGCTTACAAGTTCTGCAAGAGGCGCAGGTACCCGTCTGGCACACCTTGTCGTCGCAATGCTGACCACAAGTTGGCCTTCTCGATGGAGCCGAAGGCTTTGCGAAAATCTAAGGCGGCTATCCACAGCGTTTGTTGGAATGCATAGTATTTCGCTTGCAACATCGTCACTGTGATCAAATGGTGCGCCGTGCCGAAATTGCCCCAGAACCCAGCTTGATGTGCATCCAATATCGGGTACAGCCGGGCGTACAACAGCTTAGCAAACCACTTGTAACAAGACAGGGGTTATCGTAATAGGGCGATAGTTTTTTGCATCGGCCGCATCGCCAGACTTGTGAGTGACAGTGATAATCGATCATTTACAGGCCTGTGGTGGTACCGCAGCTGGGGCGACGATCTGGAAGGACGGGTCCAGCAATACTTGTTCCAAGTAAGGGCTTCCTGATTTTACCATCTCGGCGATACTCCCAGCGTAGTCTTTGGCCCGACCATGTTTGACTTGTTTGATCTGCGTCCGCAACTCTTTCGAAGTAAAAGCTGATACTGGAGATGCAGTTGGAGAAGAAGCTGCGTCTGCCGATCCAAAAAAAAACGGGGCTTAAGAGTACAGTTGCGCATAGAAATCAGCGTGTTCGATCCCGCCCTGGTCCTTCATGATTGGGATGAGGGTTTTTCTGCGGATGCTCTGGACGCGCCGTCCACTTGCTCGTCTCCGTCAAACATCGATTCGCCTCTCCTCGATCATGATGTGAATTTGGTCATCGTCAATTGCCCTCTCTGCATCTGCTCTTTCATACTTAGACTCCACAACAGCATCGCGGAAAATTCGCTCGACAAGTAGAAGCTTCTCTTCCACGTTGTCCGGGATGGTGCGGGGGGGAGGGAGAGGGGGAGGTAGAGGAGGGAGGAGGGAGGAGGAGGATTAACAGGCGGATGAGGAGAGATTGAGGAGGACGATCAGAACGGCCAGATGCGTCTTAGATGCCTCTCGGAGTCTCTTCGGATGTCTCTTGAGAGATTATTGTTGTTCTCTTGCGGCATCTTGGGAGTCTGTTGGCGGCCTTGTGGGCCTCTTGGAGCGTGCTGGGTACCTCGGGGGGAGCCTCTTGTGGCGAAGCGAAAGGGCTGGACTGCGAACGCCATTGATTTCCTAAGGTTTAGCAAGGACGGTGACCTCTTGGTGGTTTCCTTAGGGGTGCCCCGTCGCCACTTGGAACCGTCTTGGGGCGCTCTTGGGGCCCCTTGGAGCAGGTGGGGAGTAGCGGTATCGGTACCTTGTGGTTTGCAAACCACCCAGCGAACATAACATTGTATATACTTGTGAACAGTGCTTGCAGCATGTCATCGCCATCTTCTGCCCAAGGGTTGCTGCTGTTAATTGGCCATCGCCGAAGCAGGGGCGGCACTGCTGACGAAGTCACTCGCATCTCGCTTGCCATTACAGCAGGTTCCCCCGCCTTCTCCTCCTCGGCCGTCCTCATTCTGCTCCTCTCCCTCCCCCTCTCCCTCTCGCTATCCCGCTCTCGTCCTCTCCTGCCTATCGCCCTCCTTCGGGAGGGGAAAAAAAAAACACGGACACAATTCATCGTCGACTCCACGGGGGGGAGGACGAAAACCCCGAGAATAGGGGAGAATATAGGGTCATCCTGTTATCTGTGTGCATTTGGTTGTGTGCCCCCAGGGCCCCTTCACTCCTCCGCCGCGCGCAGGCAGCATGCACCGCTACTTCTTCTGAGCCGGCCGCCGCCGCCCCCCCCCCGGCTTGTGCCGCCACTGTCCCGGAGGAGGGGAGGCTGGGCACGCAGAGGACGACTCTACAGGCTTACGCCACATCCGCCGACCCCTTCTGTGAGTGTTGCGAGGCCAGGAGTTTCTGGCCAGCGGCGTCTTGTGTGAGGGTGCGGTGTCGCGCGGGTGGTGGCAGATACGTAGGGGGTCCAAATGTTTGCGTGATGCCGGTGGTCTGGGGCGTGTTTTGCGAGCGCTTTGCGTGCTGTGCACCCGGGTGCGGGGAGGCTGGGCACGCAGAGGACGATATCTCGCACTCGAGGTGGCGGGCGGGCGCGCGGACAGCGCGAGGGCGAGGGGGACTCCAAGGGCTCCCACGAGGGCGCGAAGTTATTCGCGGTTCGCGCTTCGCGGTCCTCGTTCCTTCTCCCCCTCCTCCTCGTCCTCCTTTTCTCCCTTTGGGGGGGCGGCGCGAGAGCGCGAAGTTATTCGCGCTTCGCGCTTCGCGGAGCGCGAAGCGCGAAGTTGGGAGCCCTTGGGGACGCAGGAGGGAAGGAAACACACGGACGCAATTCATCGTCGATTCCACAGGAGATATGGGAAGATGTGGGAAGTGGGGGGGAAGACAAGAACCTGGAAAGCATGGAGAATCCTGTTATTTGTGTGTACTGATGTGTGTGTCCCAGGGCCCCTTCAGGGACATCGACAGAGAGTGCGTCCACCGTGTCCTCCTCGGGGCCTTCCTGCCTGGCCCCCTCGTCGCCACGGCTGGGTCCGCCTCGAGATCCTGGGAGCGACGCGCTCCGGGGCAGGCTTGGGTGGCGACTCGAGTCTGAGGGGGGGCGGAGCCGGGAGCTGGGATTCCAGCGGAGTTCATGGATTTGCGCTGTGGAAGGTCATGACCCGTCCGTGGTCTGGGCCGTCCCAGGAATCATGCGGCGTGAGCAGGTTTTTTCCATGGGCGTGTTGTCTTCCCTCGAGTCTCCAGCATGAGATGGTTTGACGAGTCTGGCTGTTCGCAGAGACGGTGAAAGGACAACGTTGGTCTCGAGGGGGAGGAGGGGGAGGAGGGAGGAGGGAGGAGGGAGGAGGAGGGAGGAGGAGGAGGAGGAGGAGGGAGGAGGGAGGAGGGGAGGGAGGAGGGAGGAGGGAGGAGGGCGCCCCGAAAGTTTTTGAGGCTCGGCCGTGGCAGACCGCCTCTGCACGGGCGCCGACCGCCCGCACGGGATCTGTCCTCGAGGCTTGCGCCAAGTGTCGCCGACCTTTTGAAGGACGAGTGGAGCTCACCACCAACCAAACCACCCCAACCCAACCCGAAGGCCTCAATTTGCCCTCCATTTCCAGTGGGGGGGGGGGTCTGGGAATCGTCGAAAAAGCACATGTGGAACCCTTACCCCCCCCAACCCGAAATTCGGGTCTTCGGGTTGGGTTGGGGTGGTCTGGTAGGTAGTCAGGAGCGGAGGCACTCGAGCGAGCAGCCTTCCGCGTGGGCGCCGGGAGAGAGTGGCACCGTTGCGGTAGAAGACCCCGAGCCGCTGCATACGGTCACGCGGATGTGGGGCCGCGAAGGGGGGCACGATGGGCCACCGATTTTCCCAAGGCGCCCCCAGAACGCGAAAGGACGGCCCAAGACGCTCGCAAGCAGCCCAAGACAGACCTCCGACGGCTCTGGCCTCCAAGGGGCCCCAAGAGAGATCCGCGAGGCGTCCTTGGAGCGCCCGAAGAAGATATAATATGTGATGTTAATTGTTTTTTGTTTACGGTTTTTAGCCTTCTCGCGTTTTCGAGCTTCCAACGCTCCCAAGACCGCCCAAGAGCTCCCAAGATGGCTCCAAAACGGGCCAAGAGGGCCCCAAGACGGCCCCAAGACGACCCAAGAGCGCCCAGAGGCACCCCAAGAGACCCCCAAGGTGGCCCGAAAAGCCGCCCAACAGGGGCAACGCAAATCGTCAATCCCGGCTTTCCGCTCTAAGAAGACCCCAGGAGGCTCCAAGAGTCTCCCAAAGAGGCTGAAGAGGCCCCCAAGAGCCCCGAAGAGGCCCACAAGTGGCACCAAGAGGCCCCAAAACAGCCCCCAACAGCATCCAAACTGCCTCCCAACAGCTTCCTGCACGCCTCTTAGGCCCTCCCCGATTCCTGCGCACTACACGTTAGGAGGCTCCTTCACGGCCTCGGAGGCCGTTCAGATCCTTCCACGACGGCCCACGAGGCCCCGAAGAGGGCCCCAAGACGGCCCAGGAGGCTCCCCAGACAACCCAAGTGTGCCCCAAGAGCGCCCCAAGAGGGGGCCGAGCCGGCCCCGAAGCAAGCCACGACCAGCTAAGTGGGTCCCGAGAGGGCTCAAGACGCTCCCAAGAGGCTCCGAAGATGCGCAAGCTGCCCTCAAGACGGCCGACGAGGACTCCAACACGCTCCAGGACGGACTCAAGGGGCTCCCCAAGAGGGCCCTGGGAGGCTGAATTTATTCATTATCCGAAGGTTCTTGAAGGATTTTGGCGTTCTCGCTTTCCCCGCTTCCCAGCGCTCCCGCACGGCCTCGGAGGCCGCTCAGATCACTCCACGACGGCCCACGAGGCCCCGAAGAGGGCCCCAAGACAGCCCAGGAGGCTCCCCAGACAGGAACCAGAGTTTTCGGCAGCGGAAGCTCTGAAGCGCGTCCGTGGCCGCCATGTAAGTGATGTTGTTGATTCGCAGGTGTTTATGTGTCAGTGTATGCTGCGCCACTGTATAAGGTCAGACGTTCTGGGTTTGTGTGGTGAGAAGCGCAAGAGATCCAAGCTGACACGAGTTTGATCGCAGAGATAGTGTCAGAGTCGGACTCTCTTGGGTTGCGTCTCGGTGGTTTTCTGACCGCCAGGACCCGACCACTTCTACCACACATGTTGCCAGTAACGTTCCTCCAAGTTGAGCTGCTACTTCCCTCCTCACCATCCCCTCCCGCCTGCGAGCCGCAAGGCTGTCAGGTGACAGTCTGCCCCAGCGAGCAGCCGAAGAAATATTGCTTGTCCACAAGTCGCATTATCCCATAGTATTTGTTGGCCACCGACAAATGGGCAACAGTGGTTTGGTGGATGCGGGGAGAAAGCAGGAGGCTCATAGCTTTAAGTCGGGCTTGTCCCTCAACAGCGGGATTATTCGAAAATCGCCCAAAATCCCTCCCCCTGTAGGGGGACAGGCCCGACCCAATCATGGCCCAGCTCGGGGCGCGCGCAGGGCGTCCCAAGTTGCGCGGGCTGCCCGAGCCCGCCAGAAGCCTTCCTTGGCCCCATCATGTGGCAGCAGCACTGTCGCTCCTTGAGTGCGAGGCTGTTCCACCTGTTCCGTGGCGCATGGCGCGTCGGCGCTGGGCAGATCTTCGCGTTGTCGTTTTCATGAGAAGTGATGGTTCTTGCTCTCGCGGTGCATGGCGCGCCGGGGCAAGCGCCCCGGTTACCTCCCAGTCTCCCGTTCCTTCATTGGCCGAAGGGGGGTGGTGTAGAGCGTTGCGTGTGTTGTCGGCCTTGGTTGTTTTCCTGTGACGCCCCCCCGTGCTGAAATAATGGCTGCTGGGTCTTAGTGACAGGACTTCGCATGTTCCTTTCAGCCTACTGAGCTTGCGGTTCGGACGGGCATCGTTCACATATCATCCCTCTTCATCCCTTCTTCGCCCCCCCGCTGCATCTTTTGCACGCGCTTCGTTTTGTGATTATGGTTCGCCGCCTCCACATGTTATTAGCGCTTCGTCGTAAGGAAAACAAAAACAAAACATGTGGCGGAGGAGTGGGCGGAGGTCGAGGAGGAGGAGGAGGAAGAGGAGGAGGAAAAACAGGGGCAACATAGAGGAATCATCCCAGAACCTGAGGGGCGACTCTCGTTATCCTCCGTGGTCGCGGCTGCCCAGTCGTCCGTGGCACCTCTTGCAGGCCCTTCTCGCGCATCGCGCCTCGCAGGGGCAGCTTTCTGAGAGTGGCCCCGCGTTCCAGCGAGCACGGCAGAGGGCCCTTGCTGGAACAGGGCCGCAGTCCCGAGGCCGTTCACACATCTGCACACCGTGGGGGGCGATTTTCCGAGACCAGAAGGCGGTGGACAGTCACATATTTGCGTACGTTTCTGTCCCCCCCCCCCTCTCCCCCTTGGTGGTCCCGGTACCGGTAATGTCCACTTGTGCTGCTTCGTTGGGCCCTGGAGAAATCGGTCCCCCGGGTTGTCGATGTGTAAACGTTGTGGCCTTGGAGCAGTCTGTGCCAGTTGAACCCCCTCCTTCCGATCGACTTCCTTGCGGCACCCTGCAAGCGGCCATGGCTGCGAGCATCTATGGTACAACAGCGGTGCCCTTCTGTATGAGCATTGCCTGCTGGATCGTGCAAGCACCTGTCCGTCGAGTTGGTGTGTCGTTCAGGTTTGCACATGCGTTCTGAGTGTTGATGCGCGTGCCGATGCAGCATCTTGTTCCATGAGCCTCGCATGTAATGCCTGAGGGCGAGGAAGGCGGGGGAGGAGCAACGAGAAATTAGGGAGAGAGGGAGGAGTTGAAGGTCAGAGCGCAACAGCCTCGTCGCTTATGTATGCTTCACATACAACAGAAGAAGGTAACACATTGTTGGGGCGGGGGTAAGTGCAACACCGCTGGGGGGAAGGGGGGAGAGACCATGGGGGAGGATGAGTGTTTTACGGGGGCAATGGAGGCAGGACCGAACAGGGGGAGTGGTCGAGCATGGAGGAGTAGCAGGAGGATCAGGAAGTCGATGCAGATTTGAAGCCGTTGTGCTGGGTGCCTCGGCAGGCGCGGGGGTCACGGGGAATCACAGCACAGACAGGGGGATGGTGCAGGAACAGGGTTGTGGGTAACAGGAGCTGCAATGAGGAGGTAAAAGGGGGGGAGCGAGAGAGAGGCAACCGAGGATCATGAGGAGAAGGAGGGAGACGACGACGACGACGACGACGGCGACGATCAGGAGCAGGTGAGAGGACGGACGGAGCTGAGGAGAGGAGCGAGGACGAAGGGACTGGATGAGATCGAAAATGAGA